AAAAGTTTGTAAGTCTGTAACTGTACCTCACTGTGATTCACTAATAAAATTCGTCGATTACCTCGAGCAGGCCCCAGTAACGTCTCCTTCGTCCTAGCCCCTGAGATTTTTTAAAAAGTGCCATATTCAAAGCTCTTTCAGGGTTAGGAGAATGAGACCCATCGTTGTTACTGGTTTTTGGCATATTGGGTACACCACGGGGAGTTTGCCAGACTCTGCCGTGTGGGCAGGTTACATTCGGTAGCCTGCCAGGTTGTCCAAAGTAGGAATGAGATAATAAGATGTCGCGTGGTCACAAATGCGGCCGCGCACTTCCGGGAGCTGGGTTTTATAGTCTCTGAGTCTTGGCCGTTGATGGGATTACACAGCGCCAGGGGGCCAGTTGGTGGGTGTGACCCCTGCCTACTGGAAGATGGAGGATCTGGGTGGAGGATGCTCAGCCCTGATCCGAGCAGGCTTGGCGATCTCAGCCCCGGGACCCGCGTGGCTTTGTCCCTCTGCCAGTACCTTCATGTGTGCAGAGAGTGGTCTCAGCATGGTGGTGGCTGGTTTTGGAGGTCTTTGGCTGCTGGAGCCCTGGTCGGGGCGGGGAGGGAAACTCAACTCGCTCCCCTCCAAGGGGCCCCAGGGAGGACAGCCAGGCGGGGGGCAGGAGACTCTGTTACTAATAAAATATTTAAAAAATTGTGTGCTCCCATTTAGGTGACCTGGCTTTGACCCCCAGCACAAATAAGTAGGGAGAGAGAGAGAGAGAGAGAGAGAGAGAGAGAGAGAGCTCAGTGCACTGGAGAATATGTTTTGCCTTGCATGAGGTGCAGACTTTGTCCCAGGAACCAAAAACCCCCAGAGCACTAAGCTGGGAGTGGTCCCGAGCACTGCTTCCTATGGAAAAGAAAGAGAGAGAACAAACACCCCCCACCCTCTATTTTTTTTTCTCCTGGGTATTCAGCCCCATGGAGAGTCTTTCCTTAGCTTCTGCAGAAGAACACAAAGAAAGCGTCATATGCTCTATTGTCCCCCCCAAAGCTTAGAACACAGCTGCAAGCACAATAGGTGCTCATTAAATAGTTAATAAATGAATGACTGGAGGGATGAATGGAAGACCTAATGGCAGGAGGAAGCGTGGGGAGAAGCAGGAGGAACTTAACTCATCACCTGCTGGGTTGCTTCCTCCTAAACTCTCAAAGTGCAGGACAAGAGATCCACCCCGATGTTGGGTCGAGAACTCGGCAGTTGCAGGGCATTGCATGCAGGAGGACCGGATTAGAACACCAGTACTGCACCTCCCCGAGCGACACCCAAGCCCTCTGCTGGAAGTAGCTTCTGAGTACCAAATAACCGGGGTAGGAACCAAAAACATCAGCCAAGGGGCTGGAGCAATAGCACAGCGGGTAGGGCGTTTGCCTTGCACGCGGCCGACCCAGGTTCGATTCCCAGCATCCCATATGGTCCCCCGAGCACCGCCAGGAGCAATTCCTGAGTGCATGAGCCAGGAGTAACCCCTGTGCATCGCCGGGTGTGACCCAAAAAAGAAAAAAAAAAAAACCATCAGCAAAACAAAGTCTCAGCCCCGTCCAACCGCGCCAGCAGGGGGCGCCCAAGAACCAGGAGATGGGAATTGCTTGGGCGCTGTTCTTGGGTCTGCCACGAGGGGGTGCCACTTCCTCAGAGTGAGATTTTGGGAAATTTGGGAAGGAAGTCCTGTGGTCTCTAGTATTTTCTTTCTTTTTTGCTTTTTCCCCCAACTTGTTGGGTCATACTCGGTGATGATGCTCAAGGGTTACTCCTGGCTCTGCTGCACTCAGGAATTACTCCTGGCAGTGCTCGGGGGACCATGCAGTGCTCGGGGGACCATATAGGATGCCGGTGGATAGAATCTGGGTCAGTTGCATTCAAGGCAAACGCTGTACCAGCTGGACTATGGGTCTCTAGTTTTTTTCACATTCCTACCAAGTTTCCAAGCATTAGTACGTGCGTTTTATTTATTTATGTATTTATTTATTTATTTTTGGGTCACACCTGGCGATGCACAGGGGTTCCTCCTGGCTCTGCACTCAGGAGTCACTCCTGGCGGTGCTCAGGGGACCATATGGGATGCTGGGAATTGAACCCGGGTCGGCTGCGTGCAAGGCAAACGCCCTACCCGCTGTGCTATCGCTCCAGCCCCCGGTACGTGCGTTTTAGAAGGTGTTTTAAAGAGGGCTGTAGCAATCATTCAGGGGGTAAGGCACTTGGCTACCCCTCCACTATCCTCCCCAGCACTGAGCCGGAAGTAGCCTCAGAGCATGGTCAAATGTGACTCATAATCCAGAGACAGAAAGAAGGACGAAAAGCACCTCCTGATTTCCAAAAATGAACAAAGGAGCGATTACTGGTTAAGTCACATTGAGAGATCAAACCTGTTTTTCAACACAGGAATGTTCAAACTCTGCCATCTCCCACCTATCAGATTGGCAACGCTGCTGGCGTTTGACGAGACACTTTACTGGCCCTGCTCCATCATATTGTCATGCCAGTGTCTGTTACTCCCCTCTCAGGGAGGATAGCTTGCACACTGAATGTCCCCTTTGACCCAGTGATGGGTCTTGAGGAATACAAGCCCAACTGCACAGGTAACAAACCAACCACCTGAATCTAGAGACGCAGGACAGAAGGGGAAGCGCTGGTTCAATTGACCGCAGTTCACTTCTGACACCACCCAGGGTCCCTGGAGGTGTGATCCCTGAGCACAGAGCCAGGAGGCAGTGCCTGAGCACATCTGGGTGTGACCCTAAAACCAAAACACCAGCTGAACGCCTCTCCAACTTCTGGGACTCCTTTCTCTTGCTTGTTTTTGGGGAGGGGGTGGTCCACACTCGGCACCACTCAAGGGACCCTATGGGGTGCCTGAGATGGAGCCTGGGAATATTCTAACCCCCCCACCCATAAACAAAAAATACAGCAACCAGTGGGCTTCGAATGTGTGTGTAGGGGTTGGGGGAGGGAATACCAGGAGGAGACTGCTGACACACGTTATTGAGGCAATTTCCCCTTTCTGGGGCCGAAGGGATAGTACAGGGGGTAGGGCGTTTGCCTTGCACGCGTCTGACCTGGGTTCAAATCCCCGGCATCCCTTAGGGTCTCCCAAGCACCGCCAGGAGTGATTCCTGGTAACCCCTGAGCATCTCCGGGTGTGACCCCAAAACCAAATAAATAAATCTGTCACTGTCCTCCCACTGTTCATCGATTTTGCGTCACTGGGCCCACTCGAGCAAAAATTAAATAGATGAATAAATAAATCAGAAATGTCGGGGCTGGTGCGATAGCACAGCGGGTAGGGCGTTTGCCTTGCACGCGGCCGACCTGGGTTCGATTCCCAGCATCCCATAGGGTCCCCTGAGCCCCGCCAGGAGTGACTCCTGAGTGCATGAGTCAGGAATAACCCCGGTGCATCGCCGGGTGTGATGCAAAAAAAAAGAAAAATGTACCGTCCCCTGTCTTGTGCTTCTGCCAACCTGGCGGCGCACCGGGGGACCAACGCACAGTCAGCCCCGGGGGCGCGGACTTTCGGATTCCAGCGGCCGCCTTGGCTGGGAGCACCCGCTGCTGAGTCACCCCCAGTGCCAGAGCTCGGGGCCAACGTGCGCCCGCGCCTTCCCGGCCGGGCCCGCTTTCCCGACAGCGCAGAGAGGAGTCACCGGAGAAGGGGGTTGGGGACGGGGACGGGAGCGGGAGCCCTGGCGGGAATGAGGAAGGTTGAGCGTTGGGTGCGCGGGCGGGAAGGAAACCAGCCCGCTCCCCTTGGGGTGCATTCTTTGACGCAAACCTTGTGGGGACTCCAGCCTGGGGATGGGGAGGGGGTCCCCGCCAGGCTCGGGGCGCCCCTGAGCAGTGCGCATTGGAATTCATTCATTCCTGCGTGCGTGCATTCATTCATTCGGGAACGCGTCGTCTTTCCCCTTTCGGACCCAGATGCCCGTTTTTACAGACTCTGGGTCTTAAAGATCGGAGTTGGGGGGGGGGGGCTGGAGCGACAGCACGGCGGGTAGGGCGGTTCCCTGGCACGCGGTCGACCCGGGTTCGATTCCCAGCATCCCATAGGGTCCCCTGAGCACCGCCAGGAGTCATTCCTGAGTGCAGAGCCAGGAGGAACCCCTGAGCATCGCTGGGCATGACCCCGCTGCCCCCCCCAAAAAAAAAATCCGGAGGGAGAGAGAGAAGAGGAGGAGCCAGGGTGGGGAGAGTCCTCCCCTCCGTGGAGTTGGAGAGGGAAGAAGCAGAGATCTCAATGTAGGGGTGGGGGGAGCAGAGCCGGGCAGAGCTCAGGAAACATCGACCAGGACGAATGCCGGAGGGGGGGGGCTGGGAACCTGGGACCCCCGGGGACCCCAGACGCGTCTGGCAAGGGCTGTAGGAGAGAAAAAAAGAAAACAAAACACGAGCGCTTTGGAGACCAGCGCACGGGGTGTCTCCCTCCCTCGCCCCCCCGCTTGGGGACCTGGGGATGTGGGGGGCTGTCAGGAATGCTGACCGCTTGCCCGGTGGCCGCATTCGCCAGCACCCTTTACCCTACCGAGTGGGGGGGTGGGGTGGGGAGGCCAGACTTGGGGGCGCGGGGGGTCGGAATTCCGGCGCGCGCTCGGGAGGAAGGAAAGCGGGAGGAGACGGCGCGTCACGTCTCCAAGGTCCGCTCGGAAGGCACGTCTAGGGAGGGACCCTAGGGAGCCCCCCTCCAGCCCCAGAACTTCCCAGCCCGAGGCCCTCGGAGCCCCACCTCCGGGCCGCCGCTCGCCCCACCCCCGACCCTCCCCGCGCCCCGCCTCCGGGGCGCCCCAACTGACTTATAAAACGGGGCGTCGCGGAGGCGCGCGGGGCGCAGAGGCGGCGGCTCGTGGCGCGCACCCGGGAGCGGCTGGTCCTTGCGATTCCGGCGGCCCCGCGAGGCTCCCCCAGCGCGGACACCCTCTTTCTCTGCCCGGCGACCCCCGCCCGCCGGCAGCCCCCCACCCAGCCACCCACGCTCCTCGGCCCACTCCCGCCGCGAAGGATGCGGTGCGCCCCGACGGCGGGGGCCGCGCTGGTGCTGTGCGCCGCCACCGCGGGTCTGCTGAGCGCGCAGGGCCGCCCCGCGCCCCCCGAGCCGCCGCGCTTCGCGTCCTGGGACGAGGTCAACGTGCTGGCCCACGGGCTCCTGCAGCTCGGCCACGGGCTCCGCGAACACGTGGAGCGGACCCGGGGGCAGCTGGACGAGCTGGAGCGACGGCTGGGAGCGTGCGGCGGCCGCGCCGCCTGCGCGGAACCCGGGGACGCGGCCGCGTCCTCGGCGCGGCCACCCCAGACGGTGCCGGAGGCGGCCCCCGACGCCCTCCAGAGCTTGCAGGTGAGCGCGCACCCCCGGTTCCACCACCCACCCACCCCCCCATCCTGACTTTGCATCCTCGCCGGGAGACGGGGCTCCGCGGGCGCTCCTGAGCCCCGGGCCGGGTTTCCAGGCTGCAGAGTGGCACGGACTGACCTTTAGGGGGAGGAAAAATTGCGAGGTCACCCCAGCAGACCGCCGCTTCTCCCCGTAGACGCAGATCAGGGCCCAGAACAGCAGGATCGAGCAACTCTTCCAGAAGGTGTCCCAACAGCAGCGGCATCTGGAGAAGCAGCAGCTGAGAATCCAGAAACTTCAGAGTCAGGTAAACTCGAACCCAGTCCGGCTCAAGGAGGGAGGGCGCTGGTCTGGCAGCCTGATTCAGCCAGACCTGACATCCTCCCTCTCTGCTCATCCTCTCCCAGGTGGGCCTCCTGGCCCCCGTGCCCCTGAAACATGGGGTTGCCAAGCCCGCCAGGAAGAAGAGGCTCCCCAAGATGGACCAGTTGGGTGGTCCGGCCCACAACATCAGCCTCCTGCACCGTGAGTGCCGGATCCCTTCCTCTCCCGGGTTCTGCCCAAAGGGAAGGGCTGAGGGTGCTGCTGGCTGTGTGAGCCAGGGGGGTGCTCTGGATTCAAGGGACGGGCACCCTGACTCTTCTCTCAGCCTTGACTTTGTAAGCAGGCCACCTCTCGCTGGAGGGAAGAGAGGATCTGAAAAGAAATTGAGCTGTAAGGAGGTAGTGAAGTGGGGTGTGTGTGTGTGTGTGTGTGTGTGTACCCAAATCTCCCTAAAAGATTGAAGGTTTTTGTTTCTGGGTCACACCCAGCGATGCTCAGGGCTTACTCCTTACTCGGGAATGACTCCTCTTTGTGGTGCTCTGGGGGGGGGGGGGACCCTATGGGATGCCAGGGATCGAACCCAGGTCGGCTGTGTGCGAGGCAAACGCCCTCCCCGCTGTACTATCTCTCTGTCACAAGATTGAAAGTTTTGGGGGTCAGGAGTGCTAGTACAGCAGCTAAGGTGCTTTTGTTTTTTTTATATCCAGCCAAATTACCCCACCCCTACGTTCCTTGGCACAGGTAGGCTAATCACCTGAGCACCCGCAGGGCGTGGTCCCCAAACAAAAACGGGCAAGAATTGACAGTTTCAAATAAGAAAAGAGAAATAAGCAGGGAGTCCTGGCCAGACGGTGAAGAGAAAGAATCCCCCGAGGCGACCCTTTCCTCTTAAGTTTTAAGTATGGATCCGAGAAAGTGGGTGCAGCTGAGGCCCACCCCCATCTCAGGAGCAAGGGACATTCTTGCTTTTTTTTTCTTTTTTTTTTTTCTTTTTGGGTCACACCCGGCAATGCACAGGCGTTATTCCTGGCTCTGCGCTCAGGAACGACTCCTGGCGGTGCTTGGGGGACCCTATGGGATGCTGGGAATCGAACCCGGGTCGCCTGCGTGCAAGGCAAACACCCTACCCGCTGTGCTATCACTCCAGCCCCAATTCTTGCATTTCTTGAAAGTTCCGGGGGGGTTCTGACCCTCTCCCCTGAATCCTCCACCTCTGAGTTTGTTTGTTTTTTGCCCCCAAAGTCCCTGGTGACCCCCTCTCCCAACCCCTCCCTCTGCATCCTGATTTTGGGGTCCCTCTGGGGTCCATCCCGAATGCCCCAGCACAGCCGCCTCCTGCTTCAGCCCCTGGAGTTCAGGACAAGCCTGTTTCTTTCTCCCTGTGGTTCACGAACTCATCAGCTAAGTTCTGCGGCTCTGGTGGCGGCCAACTGGGTGAAAGTTTGGGTCGCCCCTCTGTACCCCGCCTTCACACCCCGGGGCAGCTGGGGCTGGTGGCTGCCATCCAGGCCCCCAAGTCTAGTCCCCCCTCGGTCATCCGGGTCCAATACCCCCCTTCCACCCTGACCTCCCCCGCATCACCCCCACCCCTGGCGCAGTGAGTCCTGCATCTGGCGCGCAGGTCCGACCTCCCAGAGGATGCAGGGGAAGGGGGGGGGGAGGGGGAGGGGAGGGGAGGGAAGGGGTTCCGACTTGGGGACTCCCAGCCTGCAGCCAGCCCAGTAGGGGAAAGTTCACGGCCTGAGCAGCAGACAGCTGGTGCTAATTGAAACTGCCCCCGGGCTGCTTGGCTTGGCCAACCGCCCGCTCCTATTGGCCAGGAGGAAAAGTAGGGGAAAGGGGAGCTGCCTGGGGGGCCGGAAAGTATTTCCAGCCTCTCTGGGCCCGCCCCCGCCCCAGCCCCCCTCCTCTTCTGCTCCCTTCTCTGGATTTCCCCTTCGGGCCCCCCCACGACCTTTTCCCCACTTTCCCGGCAGGGCGTGGGCGGGGCGTGGGCGGGGCCTCGGGAAGCCACGCCCACCCATTCCTCCCCATCCTTCCCCTCCCCCCACCTGGGGTGCCCAGGCCAGGCGTCCGCACCTCTCCAGTGCCAGTGCCTGGTCCCATGCAGCATCTTCCACTCACATAAAGCCCAGGCAGAGAGACCCCTCTCCTTTCACTTTTGTGTGAGTGTGTGTGCTTTTTATTTTTATTATTATTATTATTTTTTGCTTTTTGGGTCACACCCGGCAATGCGCAGGGGTTCCTCCTGGCTCTGCACTCAGGAGTCACTCCTGGCGGTGCTCAGGGGACCCTATGGGATGCTGGGAATCGAACCCGGGTCGGCCGCGTGCAAGGCAAATGCCCCACCCGCTGCGCTCTCCAGACCCGAGGTGGGGGTATTTTGAGCTCACCTCCTTGTGCCCTTCTCTCGTGCCAGTCTTTTTATTTTATTTTATTTTTTTTTGCTTTTTGGGTCACACCCGGCAATGCACAGGGGTTCCTCCTGGCTCTGCGCTCAGGAATTACCCCTGGTGGTGCTCAGGGGACCATATGGGATGCTGGGAATTGAACCCTTGGCCGCATGCAAGGCAAACGCCCTCCCCGCTGTGCTATTGTTCCAGCCCCCTCTCATTCCAGTCTTGCTTGTCTGCTACATCCCTGGGACTGATCTCCCGGCTCAGCCTGTCCCCTTCTTCCCCGCAGGGCTGCCCAGAGACTGCCAGGAGCTGTTTGAAAACGGGGAGCGGCAAAGTGGCCTCTTCCAGATCCAGCCCCAGGGGTCCCCTCCGTTCCTGGTAAACTGCAAGATGACCTCAGGTAGGGGCTGCTGGCCCACCGGGGAGCCCCACATCCCACTGTCTTTTGGGGAGATACAGGGAGCCTGGGATCCTGCAAGGCTTTACCACTAAGCCACAAACCTCCATCCTACTGACGTTCCGCCCAGTTTCCAGCCTCCTCCTCTGCCCATGCCCCTCACCTTGGCCTGGCCCCTTCTCAGACGTACCCCCCCCCAACCTCCAGAGCCCCCTCCTTTCACCAGGGTCCCTGACACCACCATTTTGGGCCTTTCCTGCGCCCCGTAGTCCTTTCTGTCATCATTCCCCTTTTTTTTCTTTTTTTTTTTTTTGCTTTTTTTGGGGTCACACCCAGCGGTGCACAGGGGTTACTCCTGGCTCTGCACTCAGAAATCACTTTTGGTGGTGCTCGGGGGACCATATGGGATGCTGGGAATCGAACCCGGGTCGGCCGCGTGCAAGGCAAACGCCCTACCCGCTGTGCTATCGCTCCAGCCCCATCATTTGCCTGGAGGCGACTTCCAGTGACCTTTCCTCTCTCCCTGGGCAGATGGAGGCTGGACGGTGATTCAGAGGCGCCAGGATGGCTCTGTGGATTTTAACCAGTCCTGGGAAGCCTACAAGAATGGCTTTGGTGATCCTAGAGGTACGTGGGCCTAATTGGTACCCATAGGAATAGGAGAGGGGCGGAGCAAAAGAAGAGTGGGTGGGGCCACGGGGAGGGGCGGGGCAAAGAAATGGGCGGGGCCTGCGATGAGGGGTGAAGCCAATAGCAATCAGGTAGGGGGTGGAGCGAAAGAAGAGTGGGTGGGGGCATAGGGAGAGGGGCGGGGTGAAAGACATGGGCGGGGCCTGCGATGAGGGGTGAAGCCAATAGCAATCAGGTAGGGGGTGGAGCAAAAGAAGAGTGGGTGGGGCCATGGGGAGAGGGGCGGGGCGAAAAACATGGGCGGGGCTTGTGATGAGGGGTGAGGCCAATAGCAATCAGGTAGGGGGTGGAGCAAAAGGAGAGTGGGTGGGGGCATAGGGAGAGGGGCGGGGCGAAAGACATGGGCGGGGCCTGTGATGAGGGGTGAAGCCAATAGCAATGAGGTAGGGGGTGGGGCAAAAGAGAAGTGGGAGGGGCTGTGGCGAGAGGCGGGGCAGTGGGAAAGGGGGAGGAGCAAAAGAAGTGGAAGGTGTCTGGTGGGGAGTGGGAGGGGCTTAGGTGAGGGGCGGGGTAAGTGGGCGGGGCTGTGAGGATAGGGGCGGAGCAAGTGAGCTCACAGCTTTGTGTCATCCTGCTTTAGGGGAGTTCTGGCTTGGCTTGGAGAAGATTCACCGAATCCTGGGGGACCAGGGCGGCAAGCTGGCCGTGCAGCTGCAGGACTGGGAGGGAAACACGGAGTCCCTGCAGTTCCCGGTGCACCTGGGGGGCGAGGACACAGCCTATAGCTTGCAGCTCCCAGCACCCCTGGCCAGTGAATTAGGCGCCACCAGCATTGATCACTCCCTGCCCTTCGCCACGTGGGATCAGGACCATGACCTCCTCGGGAACAAGAATTGTGCCAAGAGCCTTTCTGGTGAGCCTGCTCTGTCCTCCCGCCTTCCTGACTGTGTCACAACCCCTTCCTGCCTTTCACGGGCCCTCCCCACCTTGTCCATCTCTCCTCTCCTCTGTCCAATGGGGACAGCCCCGTGAGCAATCACAGAGGAGGAGCACGCATGCTCTGCATGTGGGCAGCCAGATTTGAGTCCCAGCACTGCATGCACCCAGGGCATCATTGCATAGTACCCCTGAGCACCACTGGGAGTTGCCCCTAGTGCCCTGGGAGGTGGCCCCAAAATTAAAAGGTAAAGGTAAAGGTAAAGGCCCTCCCGTTGATCATCGATTTGCTCGAGCGGGCCCAGTAACGTCTCCACTGGAGACTTTGTTGTTACTGTGTCTGGCACATCGAATACGTCACGGGGAGCTTGCCAGGCTCTGCCGTGCGGGCGAGATACTCTCGGTAGCTTGCCGGGCTCTCCGAGAGGGGCGGAGGAATCGAACTCGGGTCGGCCATGTTGGCTGCGTGCAAGGCAAACGCCCTACCGCTGTGCTATCGCTCCAGCCCCCAAAATTAATTCACAGTTTTTCAGGGGCGCAGGGACTGGTGCGATAGTATAGTGAATAGGGTGCCTGCCTAGTCAGGTGTAGCCCTAAAACCAAAAATAAAATAAAAGCCTTTGATTGGCTCTTTTTTTTGGCTTTTTTTTGGGGGGGGTCACACCCGGTGATGCTCAGGGGTTATTTCTGGCTCATGCACTCAGGAATTACTCCTTTTTTTTTTTTTTTTGAATTTTGGGTCACACTTGGTGATGCACAGGGCTTACTCCTGGCTCATGCACTCAGGAATTACTCCTGCCAGTGCTTAGGGGACCATATGGGATGCTGGGAATCGAACCCAGGTCGGCCGCGTGCAAGGCAAATGCCCTACCCGCTGTGCTATCGCTCCAGCCCCCTTTGATTGGCTTTGGAAGGTGCCCCACACAGAGATGGAGCTTGCTGTGGGTATTAATTTATCATTCAGGAGGCTGAGACCTGCCCCCACAGACCCTGAATATGGCCCAGGTTCTTTTTGCCAACCCCTGCGGGACCCTTTCCCTTCCCTGATGTTTGAGGTTTGGGCCAGGCTGGATGATCTCACGTCCCTTCTTTTCCCATTCCCCATCCCGGCAGGTGGCTGGTGGTTTGGCACCTGTGGTCATTCCAACCTCAACGGCCAGTACTTCCACACCATTCCCAGACAGCGGCCGCAGCGGAAGAAGGGAATCTTCTGGAAGACCTGGCGGGGCCGCTACTACCCGCTGCAGGCCACCACTATGTTGATCCAGCCCAGAGTGGCCGCTGCCTCCTAGCCTTGGGGCAGGGCGGGGCCTGGATGCAGGTTCCTAAGGAAAAAGTGACTTGAAGGGGCACTTTGCCCCGGTAGGGGCTCTGGGCAGCCCGCCATTGGAGAGGCATCCCCACCCAGTTCCAGAATGGGGGTGCTACCAGGTAGTGGTGCCCCCCCCCCCCCGCCAGCAGACAAGGACTGAGCTGGAAGATGGGGGGCAGGGCACAGGCCCTGGAGATACAGGACCAAGTGGGCACCAGGGCCCGGTTCTTGGCCACCAGAGGAATGGAGAGATGGCAGAGGGACCCCCGGGGTAGGGTGGGTGGGCTGAGCAGTCAGAGCGGTGTACCCTCCAGCGAATACCAGTCTGGATTCTTGGGTCACATTGACTAGCTGGGGCAAAAACAACCCCCCCCCTTTGCTGTTGGGTGTGGGTGCCCCCGGGCAATGACATGTTGGCGCTGGCATTTGGGTGGAGCTCACGAATTCTTGGAATAAAAGCGGATCTCAGAACATTGCGTGCTCTGTCCTCCGGGAGGTGGTGGTGGTGGTGGTTGTTTGCTAGTGGGCGGTTTGAAAGGCCTAGTCAAGCTGAGTGCCCAGGGACAAGGTCTCCCGGGGGTCACTCCCATGCTGACCGAGGTTGCCACAGACCACTGGCCACCGGAGATGGACTTCTAGTTGTTTATTCAGACTGGCAAAATCAGGGCAAGGGAGATAGTACAATGGGAAGGGCGCTAACTTCGCACATGGCCGAACCAAGTTTTTTCTTTTTTCTTTTTTTTTTGCTTTTTGGGTCACACCCAGCGATGCTCAGGGGTTACTCCTGGCTCATGCACTCAGGAAAATTGCTCCTGGCGGTGCTCGGGGGACCATATGGGATGCTGGGAACTGAACCTGGGTTGACCATGTTGGCTGCGTGCAAGGCAAACGCCCTACCCGCTATGCTATCACTCCAGCCCCTTTTTCTTTTTCTGCTTTATGGGTCTCACCCGGCAATGCACAGGGGTTACTCCTGGCTCTGCACTCTCAGGAATTACTCCTGGCGGTGCTCAGGGGGACCATATGGGATGCTGGGACTCGAACCCGGGCCGTCCACCTGCAAGGCAAGAGCCCTACCCCCTGTGTTACAGCTACAGCCCCTGACCTAGGTTCAATTCCCAATATCCTATAGGGTCCCCCGAGCCCTGCAAGGAATGATTCATGGGTACAGAACCAGGAGTAAGCCCTGAGTTTGCTGGGTATGGCTCCAGAGAAAAAATAAGAAAGACCCAAATAGTTAAATGAACCCTCCGATTATTCAATTGTTACACAACCAGATAACAGAAAACCAAAGTGTCCTTTTCTTTTTGGGTGACATACCTGGGGTGCTCAGAAATCGCGCCTGGCGGAGCTCATGAAGCCATACAGAGGATTTGAACCTGGGCCCCTGCGTGCATGGCAAGCTTTTTTTTTTTTCTTTTTGGGTCACACCTGGCAATGCACAGGGGTTACTCCTGGCTCTGCACTCAGGAATTATCCCTGGCGCTGCTCAGGGGACCATATGGGATGCTGGAAATTGAACTTGGGTCGGCTGCTTGCAAGGCAAATGCCCTACCCGCTGTGCTATCGCTCCAGCCCCCATGGCAAGCATTTTAACCTTTGAACTATCTCAGTGCCCATGAGAGCCTGGTTCCTGATCAGTCTTGGAAGTAACTAGAGTCAGGATGAGTGAACTTAGATGGGTCCCAACTGCAGAACGGGAGGATTTTTGTTTGTTTGGGGGTGTTGGTGCTCAGGGATCACTCCTGGCAGGGCTCCAAGGACCCTATGGGGTGCCAGGGATTGAACCCAGGTCTGTCACATGCAAGATAAACACCCTATTTGCTGTATTATCACTCCAGCCCTGAATTGGATTTTTTTTCCATGCACTTTTGATAGGACTTAGGTGTCCTGGTTTTGTGGTTTTTTGTTTTGTTTTGTTTTAGGACCTCATCCAGCTGTGCTCAGGGCTTTCTCCTGGCTCTGCCTCTCAGGGATCACTCCTGATGGGCCTTGGAGACCATATGGGGTGCTAGGGATGGAATCCAGTCAGCCACATGCAAGACAAGCGCCCTCCCCACTGGACTGACTCTCAAGCCCGGACTTTGGAGTTTGCATGGCTGCAGGGTGGAGCCCAGAACTTTCTACAAAGCCAGATAGTTGCTGTTGGTTGGCCTTGAAGCTTCTTGCCGGGCCCACAGAACTGGAGATCTGAGTCCAGACCTTTCTCCGGGGAAGTGATTTTCAAAACTCTCCAGGTTCAGTTTCTGCGTCTGCAAAATGCGGAACGTTTTTGTTACGCTTCTCATCACCCTCGGGACTGGATCTGAATACAGTCACTGCCCTTAAGAATTCCTTGGAACCAGACACCATGTGTGCACGGCGAAACATTAGCCGTCATCGCTGATACTATTATTGCTACTATGACCTATGCTGGGTGGGGGTGGTGGAGGTGGGTATAGCCCAGACAGTAGAAGAGGCTTAAAGGTGCAAACGGCTCTGGGGTCAGTTTTCAAGGAAGGGCGACAATTGTACAGTAGGAAGGATGGCATTCCAGCAGCACTGTGTCCTGGGCGAGTCAACCCTGGTGGCGGCGGCGGGAACTGCATTTCGGCACTGATAACCAGGTCGCTGTCCCACCTGGCCACCGCCCGGGACAGAAAAGGAGCCAGTTGCATGGGCTTGCGCGGGACAAGGTTTAGGTCAGAAAATGCAGTGGGGCGGGGAGAGTGATAGCACAGCGGTAGGGCGTTTGCCTTGCATGCAGCCAACGTGGCCCACACAGGTTCGATTCCCATGGTCCCCCGAGCACCGCCAGGTGTAATTCCTGAGTGCATGAGCCAGGGGTAACCCCTGAGCATCCGGGTGTGACGCAAAAAAGCAAAAAAAAAAAAAAAAAGAAAGAAAATGCATTGGGGATGGCGCTTATTTTGCATGCGGCTGACCCGGGTTCGATCACGGGGCATCAAAACGTCCCCCGAGCCCAGATCCAGGAGTCAAGCCCAGAGGACCGCCCGGCGTGGCCCGAAAAGCCATTTAAATAAAAGTTCCCATGAGGTGAGCTTCTTTCCCGATCTACAGAGGAAGAAACTGAGGCAGCATCCTTGAATCACCGGAGCAGGGCTAAGATTACAACGTAGGAAAAGAGGGAACATTTGAGACCACCGTGGAAAAGGAGCGGTCCTATTTTTTCTAAGAAGCGGGACGGCAACCGCGCATTGACCTATGACGTCATCAGGTCGGTGCCCCGCGTAACATCACCTGGACGTGCTCCGATTCTCCTTCCAGGACAAGCCCGCGGGCGGGGGAGGCGGGGATCGCGCCTCCGATTGGCTGGCTGCCCTGTCAATCTCTTCCCTCTCTCGGCTCTTCCGCCCCCTCCTCCCGGGCCCGCTTCTGATAGGCTGGCGCGCCCGTCACTTCAGAAAGGTCCGCATTCCTTCCGCCTTTCTCCAGGAGACCGAGGGCGAGGTGGGCGGACCCCAGGCGGCTCCCACCTCCGAGGCGCCGAGGTGCCCTCCGATTGGCTGCCCTGAGTGCCGGTCGCCACGCCGCCCGCCGCTGATTGGCTAGCTGGCCGCCGCTCGGCGCGGCGCCGGCTCCGCCCCCGTCGGGTGTTTGTGGTGGGGCTGCGGAGTCGCCGATCCCGCCGGAAGCGCCAGGACAATGGGGACCCGGGACGACGAGTACGACTACCTATTCAAAGGTGCGGACAGTGGGGCTCCGACGGGCGAGGGGGTGGTGGCCAGGCGGCCGGCCGGGGCTACGCTCCACGGACCCTGGGCCCAAGTCAGAGAGTGGGGCGCGGGGCGCGGAGGGTGAGGCAGCCGCCGGCAGGGATGGGACAGGCCGGGCTCCATCAATTTGGGCCCGTGTGCGCGGCTGTCCGGTGCTGGAAGCCCAGGGAGGCCCCAGGACCCTGGGTGGAGCCGGGGCCCGGAGGGGGCGGAGCCTGGGGCGGTGGGCGAGGCCTCGGGGGGCGGGGCTGTGAGCAGGGGGCGGGGCCTCCGCAGCCTTTGGCGGGTCGGGCCGGGTGGCCAGCGCCGTTAGCGTGGGGGCGGGGCCAGCGAGCGGTGGGCGTGTCCTCGGATGGGGCGGGGCTCGCTGGGCGGGGCTCCTGAGTCGGTGGGGGAGCCGGGTCCTGATTGGCTGAAGTGCGGCTGGGGGCGGAGCCCGCGGAAGGGCGGAGGGGACCAGGCGGCCGGTTGCAGAGGTTTGTGCTAGTTTTGGGGGGATCCCTCTGGACTCGGAGCGCGCTTCGGGGCGCCTCTAGGGGCGACTGAATCCTGGCCAGGTGGTGACCTATAGCAAGGATCAGCAAAGCTCTCCGTTGAGGGGCTGGAGCGATAGCACAGCGGGGAGGGCGTTTGCCTTGCACGCGGCTGACCCGGGTTCGATTCCCAGCCTCCCGTAGGGTCCCCCTGAGCACCGCCAGGAGCCCACTCCTGGCGGGACTTGGAGGACCCTACGGGATGCTGAAAATTGAATCTAGGTCAGCCTGGCAGACTTCCTACCTCTCTGTACTATTTCCCCACCCTTATCTGAAACTTTTTTTTTTTTTTTGCTTTTTTGGGTCACACCCGGCGATGCACAGGGGCTTCTCCTGGCTCTGCATTCAGGAATTACCCCTGGCGGTGCTCAGGGGACCCTATGGGATGCTGGGAATTGAACCTGGGACAGCGGCGTGCAAGGCAAATGCCCTACCCGCTGTGCTATCTCTCCAACCCCAAGAATTTATTTATTTTATTTATATATTTTTTGGCTTTTTGGGTCACACCCGGCGATGCACAGGGGCTACTCCTGGCTCTGCACTCAGGAGTTACTCCTGGCAGCGCTCAGGGGACCCTATGGGATGCTGGGAATCGAACCCGGGTCGGCCGCGTGCAAGGCAAACACCCTACCCGCTGTACTATCCAGCCCGGATACGCAACATCTTGAGACTGGCAGGGGGAGGCACCCTGGGGTTCCTGGAGATGTGGCCTGAGGGTGGCAAGGCGCTTCCAACCTGGAGTATCCACGTGGCCTCAAGCTTCCCCGCAGAGGGCGAGGCCAGGTGGTCTCTCAGCATCTGCCCTGAGGTCTTGTTGTTGGGGCTGGAGCCCATAGGGGAGGGCGTTTGCCTTGCATGCGCCGACCCGGGTTCGATCCCCAGCATCCCACAGGGCCCCCCCCAGAGCCTACTAGGGAATGATTCCTGGGCACAGAGCCAGGAGTCAGCCCCAAGCAGTGCTGCGCTGTGGCCCCCCCAAACAAGCACAAAGGCGGTGCTCCTGTTGTTGGGCGGCGGTGTGGGTAGTGGGGGTGGGTGGGTGGTCCGGTCTCACCATAAAGGTGGGGGAGCTTTGGGAAGTCACTGGGATCAGGTGGACCCCAGCCTTGGGTTGTGCTGGTCGCCTGGGCCTGCCTGCAGAGACGTGTCCTCCGGGTCCTTCCAGGGCAGCGTGTGTGTGTGTGTGTGTGTGTGTGTGTGTGTGTGTGTGTATGTGTCTGGCCTCCTCCCCTCCCCCTGCTTTTGTGGTCATCCCCACTGGATGTCCTCGAACGTGGCCTGTTATAAATAACCCCGCACCTCCCGGGCGTTCGTACATCTTGCTGCCCTTTGGGCTATTTCCTTGAAGTCTGTTCCCAGAGCTCCGGTTAGTGGGTCAGGGGCAACGGAGCAGCTGCACGCAGGTCCCCAGGCCGCGGGCTGCAAAATACCCCGCGTCCACCCTGCGTGACGCGGGCACATGCGTGAGGGGCGCGCGTGCACAGGAGGGGCTCCCGCCTGCCCCACTGGCCTCCCGCGGGCAGGCTAGTAAGTCCACCTGGGGCAGTCACCGGTGCCCAAAAACCGTCATCCGGGATTTTATCCCTGATGCTTGCTGGACCTGATGGAATTGTTACAGGCTCCCCCTGTACCTCTCTGTGATGATGATAGACCTTTTTTTTTTTTTAATTTTTTTTTTTTGGCTTTTTTGGGTCACACCCGGCGATGCACAGGGGTTCCTCCTGGCTCTGCACTCAGGAATTACCCCTGGTGGTGCTCGGGGGACCATATGGGATGCTGGGAATCGAACCCGGGTCAGCCGTGTGCAAAGCAAACGCCCTACCCGCCGTGCTATCTCTCCAGCCCCTATGATAGGGTTTTATTTTGTTTTTTTGCTTTTCTTTGGGTCACACCCAGCGATGCACAGGGGTTCCTCCTGGCTCTGCACTCAGGAATTACCCCTGGCGGTGCTCGGGGGACCATATGGGATGCTGGGAATCGAACCTGGGTCGGCCGCGTGCAAGGCCAACGCCCTACCCGCTGTGCTATCGCTCCAGCCCCTATGATAGGGTTTTTATGTTTGTTTTTTTGTTGTTTGTTTGCATGGGGGCCACACCCTGCAGTGCTCAGGGGTTAGTCCTGGCTCTGCGCTCAGGAATCACTCCTCCTGTCGGGTGCTCGGGGCACCCTATAGGATGCTGGGGACTCAAACCTGGGTTTGCCTCGTGCAAGGCCAGCACCCTCCCTGCTGTCCTCTCCTTTCTCCCCCCCCCGCTCCCCACTCCCCATTTTTGAACTTCAGTTTCCTCCGTTTCACTCTCTGAAACAGGAACATCCGTGTGGACTTTGGCAAAACTTAAGAGTCCGGCAGCAGGCGGGCATTTGCCGCCAGCAGGGTGGGCAGAACTGTGGGGTGGATTCGGGGGGCTCCCCGAGACCTGTGACCCCCCCATCGCCTACAGAATGAGGTCAGGCTGAGGTACTAGCAGGTGTCCAAGAGCCCACCCTGCTGGAAGATTCCAGAGGATTCACTTTCCCCTCCCCGTTGGGGGAGGGGGTGCCCGGAGGGGTTGCTGGTTCTCTCTCTCTCTCTCTCTTTTTTTTTTTGGGTCACACCCGGCGATGCTCAGGGGTCACTCCTGGCTCTGCGCTCAGGAATTACCCCTGGCGGTGCTCAGGGGACCCTATGGGATGCTGGGAATCGAACCCGGGTCGGCCGCGTGCAGGGCAAACGCCCTACCCGCTGTGCTATCGCTCCAGCCTCTCTCTCTCTCTCTCTCTCTCTCCCCCCTCTCTTTCTCTTTCTGATTTTGGTACCACAGGCAGTGCTCAGGGCTGACCTCTGTCCTATGCTCAGGGGTCCTGGCGGGGCTTGGGGGACCCTGCGGGGTTACAGGAGTGTCAGTCCGTCCTCAGCCAGGTGCCGTTTCACACCCCCGTCCACCATCCTAGCCGGGCTCCCCCCAGGCCTGGTCACCTTCCCGGCCCTGCCCTTGACCCAGAGGCCTCCGCCTCCCCCCCAGCACTGCCCCCGCCCCCAAGCCTGTCCCTCCCGCCCCTGCCAATGCTTTCTTCCTGGTGGCCACGCTGGCCCCTGGCTCCCTGCTGACCCCAGGTCCCCTGGGTTCCTCCCGCCTTTCCCCAGGAGGACCCGGGCGTGTTTATTGGGGCCTAATTATAGCAGCTCACATTTCTCCTGTGGACTCTGCCTGCTGCCCGATCGGGTTGGGGGGGGGCACCCCTGCCTTCTCTGAGGTGACCAGGCCCCCGGCCCCCCGGGGACCTGGCTGGAGGGCGGACGTGGGGCGCGTGCAGGGCCGCTGTCCCGGGAGAGGCCCTTCTCGGAAACGGGGTGCGGCTGGCTGGCTCCTGAGGAACTGACCTGCCCCCCCGCCCCCGGGGTGGGGGCTAGCCCCTTTCTGCCTTGCAAGTAACTCCCCAGCCCTCTCAGGGGTCCAGGGGTCCCCGCCCTGCCCCTCCCCCAGTGCCCACTGCTCCAGACCTGTCGGCTCCCCTTTCCAAGCAGTTTTTTTTTTTTTTTTTTTTTGCTTTTTTGGGTCACACCCAGCAATGCTCAGGGGTTACTCCTGGCTCTTCACTCAGGAATTACTCCTGGCCGTGCTTGGGGGACCATATGGGATGCTGGGAATCGAACCCAGGTCGGCTGCATTCAAGGCAAATGCCCTACCCGCTGTGCTATTGGTCTAGCCCCCTTAAGGGTTTTTTTTTGTTTCTGTTTTTGTTTAGCTTTTTGGGTCACACCCGGCAAGGCACAGGGGTTACTCCTGGCTCTGCACTCGGGAATTTCTCCTGGCAATGCTCAGGGGACGATAATGGATGCTGGGAATCGAACCCAGGTCGGCCGTGTGCAAGGCAAACGCCCTCCCAGCTGTGCTATCGCTCCAGCCCCCTTAAGGTTTTTTTTTTGAGATGTCCCCACACTGTTTTCCAAAAGGGCTGGACCCAGCATTGCCCAGGGCTGACTTCTGGCTCTGTGCTCAGGGATCACGCCTGGTGGCATTTTATCACTGTGGGGTGTTGGGGATCAAATCCAGTTCAGCCACGTGCAAGGCCAGTGTTGAAACCCCCTGCACCGTCTCTCCAGCTCTGCCTCAGGGCCTTTGCACTGACTGTTCCCTGTGATCCAGCGGTTCTCCATGATATTCTCACTCTGGAGGATGGCGGATTCCTGGTTGGGACAGTGGCGTGGCCCTTTGCTCTGTAGAAGGGGGGACCAGAACATAACTTGGGGCCACGAGACAACATTGTGGGTGCTGCCTCTTTCCCTTTTTTTAGCAGTAAGTCGGGGGAGGAGGGTCTTGAGGGGGCAGTGGGGAGCACCACTGGGAAGGGGCCCACCAGACCCAGGAGCTGGGAGGAGTCAGGGACGCATGTAGTCGAGGTTTATTTTTCAGTTTTTTTTTTTTCTTTTTGGGTCACACCCGGCAATGCACAAG